GGGCTCTTTTTGGCATTTCGGGGGCTAATTCGCCCGAGCCCCCGTGTATTTTTTCCCTGCAAAAATCTTCCAACTGGTAACACAGAACATTCTTCAAGATACATTTTTTCTTGAATAGATACTGTAGTTTACATGTAGATCAACTAAGCATCGAATACTAAAACCTAAAAACTTACCACACAATTTGTCCGTTTTCACGAAGTGACGGTAGTGAGGAAAATCGTCACGCAAAGTGAATGCAATTTTTTTTCACTACCGTCACTTCGTGAAAACAGCGACGAATTATTTCATGAGATTTGTGGGAAATTTAACATGCATTGGTCATTAATCAATCGGTACTTAATAGAAGACGCAGAAGGGAAAAGTTCCCCTTCACGTTTACAACAGCTGCTCAGGTCAATAAAACAGTCTGAGAAATTCCAATTGCAATCTTTACAATTTACAGAAAGTGATGAAGTTATTGATTTGGACATTGTACTGGTAGGGAGTCGCTGACCGTGGTCCGATAACATTTAGCAAGAGTAAAATGAAAATCAATATTGTTATCCAGTTTTGCTAACCTCCAAGCATGTTGGTGGCATATTGCGAACAGTGACAACACACACACACCACACTACATCAATTTAACACATCTCTCATGATCTCTGCATGGAAAGTCGGAAATATGATGGCAAATTATATACAATGATTTCATGAAGTAGACCTACACTGGACATACATTACATGTAGACAGTCACAAGTTGTACAGACCCAAATCAACTGTACTAAAAAATATTCAGTTATTAAGAAGATAAACTGGAGTTCTCCTAAATATAGAAAATAAATTCTCACAGAATCCAACATAACTTACACTGAATGTTCAAGATTACAAATAAATGACATGTGCTAAACAATTTTGGTAGAAAATGTATGGTGGTCGAGCACAGAAAGAAAAGGAAATCTGGGTATTACTGTAGGCCATGCAGACACCGAATACATGCTTAACACAGGTCACTATAAAGTACTATATATGTACAAATGGGATTTGTAGTTGTTTTTTAAAAAAATCTTTTGACAGGGTAGCCCATTCACCAACAAGTAGTGGTCTTCCATGGGGCCCTGAATGAACATATTTACATAGTTTATAACATTTATACAGAACAGTTACAAAAATAATACTCGTTTGCAAAATAAACATATGATGATGATGATGCCCAGTAGGTCTATGTGTATGTTTTTATTTCACTGGTTCAAATAACCAATCTACTGCAGGATAAACAATATATATCCTTAGTAAATCATAACAATTTTCTCTCAAAATACAATTCCCATACCCAGGGCTGTCAATTTTGGGGAACTGCTTCGAGGGAGGTTGTATGCATATTTTTGTTCTGCTAAACGGTAGTTTTTTTAAAAGGGGGCGTTTTAAAATTTGAAAAATCGCGCCAAATTTTTTGCAATGACTCAGCTAGCAGCTGAATAAGCAGGGGGGGGGGGGGGGGGGGGTAAGAGCACATTTTGTTCTTATTTTTTCCCGGTATTGGCGGGAGGGTTTTTCATAAACCGGGAGATTCTACATGGAAGCGGGAGAACGGGAGGAAAGGCGTATTGGTGGGAGTCTCCGCTACGAGCTATTGGGACGGCGGGAGAATAAGTGTGGTGGCATGAGACTCCCTCCAAATGCGGGAGGGTTGACAGCCCTGCATACCAGAGCTCAAGATTATAACTTTAATGTTATTTGTGGCTTGCATTGTTTATTTTACATGCGTGTTTGTATGATTGATGTCTTCCTGTACAAAATATACCTTTCTTCTTTTTCTAAAGATATCAGTATTCAACTGTGTTTAAACTCATTTTCAAAAGAGAAACATGGCAAGTGAATTGTGGATAAATCTCCTTATACATGTATAAGATGTTCTTTTTTTTTAAAACAAACTACATGTAGATACTAACTACATGTATACTTCTAAATTTGCAAGAGAGTGTAATAGTTCTTTATTTATCATAGATTTGTAGATACATGTAAGAATCTGTTTTGACATACATTTCAGGTACTTTGCTGCCTGAATATGAAGATGTACGGGCACATCGCTACCTGAATATCTGTTAATGGTTACCCGAATATTGGAAGATTGAAAATTCCCGCCTCGTAGGCCTATGATTTTCTACATCATTTAGGCCTAGTTAATCATTGGGTCTCCATAAATGGATAAACAGGCAAACAGAGAAATCCTCTTCATACAAGGGAACATGACCATGGTGCAATATACATTTAACAACTAAATTATACATACCCTTACCAAGTTTGTAATTGTTGAAGTCTCTCTGATTTATGTCTCTTGAGAATGTGACATATTGAAGCTTACAACTGCAAGTATTCAATAAAGGCTCTGATTCAACCAGTCCCCACCTTTCATTCCCGAGTTACAAAAACACAAAAACATCAAATTAAAAAGGGGTATGAATAATTTGGTTGTTAACTGTAGATCAACTGCAATTTTTATTCTCATTTGTTGGCTTCATGTACATGTATACAGCCATAGACTAGATAAGTTATAATAATAATAACAATAATAACTTTAAAAGTATTTATAATGTGCCAACTCCACATGAATAATGTGCTCAAGTTATGATTTATTAAATGGTGTACCCGTACATATGTACGAACGGAAGTCTTCACAGATTCATATTATTATTTCAGATCCATTGCTTTTTATTTGGAATTTCAGCAATTTTTATGCCTCCGCTACAAAGTAGCCGGAGGCATTATGTTTTCTGGTTGTCCGTCCGTCCGTCCGTACGTACGTCCCGTTCTCGTGATCACGTTATCTCAAGAACCAATTGATAGATTCCCTCCAAACTTGGATCATGTATGTATCTTACAGAGCCAATGAACTGATTAGATTTTGGGGTCACAAGGTTGAAGGTCAAAGGTCACAGGGCTCATTATGTATGCAAAAAATAGCTCATGATCGCATTATCTCAAGTACCGGTCGATAGATTCCTGCCAAACTTGGGTCATGTATGTATCTAACAGAGCCAATGAACTAATTAGATTTTGGGGTCACAAGGTTGAAGGTCAAAGGTCACAGGGCTCATTATATATGCAAAAATAGCTTGTGATCGCGTTATCTCAAGAACCGGTTGATGGATTTCTGCCAAACTCAGATCATGTATATACAGAGCCAATGAGCTGATTGGATTTTGGGGTCACGAAGTTGAAGGTCAAAGGTCACAGGGCTCATTATGTTTTCAAAAATAGCTGTGATCGCATTATCTCAAGAACCAATCAATGGATTCCTGCCAAACTTTGGTCATGTATGTAATTAACAGAGCCAATGAACTGATTAGATTTTGGGGTCAAAGGTCACAGGGCTCATGATGTATGCACAAATAGCTTGTGATCGCATTATCATGAGAACCAATAGACAGATCACTATCAAACTCAAGACATGTACATGTATCTTGCAGAGCCAATGAACTGATTAGATTTTAGGGTCATCAGGTCAAAGGTCATGGGGCTCATTATGTATGCCTATAAATAGCTTGTGAGTGCATTATCACTAAAACAGACAGATGGATTACAATCAAACTTGAATTTTTTAAATTGCTCTATGGCGGAGGCATCATTTTCGACTGCGCGCAGTCAAAATTCCATCTAGTTCTTAATATTTCTTCATAGATTGATCTAGATATATAGCAAGGAAAAATATCTTTGCCTTTTCTCACTGTATCAGGTCCTCTAAACATTTCGGCTACTGGTCAGCGTTTACATTTAATTTAGATACAAAAATGCTTTGCATTCCTAATCCTAGACAGAAATAAGCGTCTGGTAATATTCTTTAATAAAACTGACATTCGTCAAATTCCCCATAGAGGCGGTCAGAGGAGCCAGATGTAATCTCAGCGGAATTAACCGTCAATATCAGAGACTGAAGCTTTCGGTCTATCTTAATCCTAGACCGAAAGCGTCAGTCTCTGATATCGACGCGTTGTTCCGCTGAGATTACATCTGGCTCCTCTGACCGCCTCTGTACATAGACTGAAGTACGTCCTATAGGGTACTGTGCGAGATGAATGAGATATGCAATAAGTTTTTTCCACCTTTTACGTTTTCACAATCCTTTTTGGCTGCGAAATTACATTACATATTATTTTTTAGAGTAAAAATTATAATATAGTATGTAGACTACTTTGATTTACGCGTGTGTTCAGTTAGCTTAGTTTACGGTCGCTAGCTAAACACAAGCGCGCGCGTGTGCGCACCCAACTGTCGGTACGGTAGGCCTATGCAATTGTATTGTGCTTCAGTTTGCCGTGAATTCTGTAAGATAGTGCATATTATAAGTAGGTCTAAGTTAGATCTATATCTAGGGTTAATTATAAATCTTCGTTTTTAGGAAAAATACTCTGAAAATCTAAGTAGATCTAAGTAAGAAAAATCAACACGAAACAGGTAACAAACATATTGACTTTTAAATCATGACCTTTATTTGGACATTTGATGAATATTTACTTCATTTTGGCATTCGGGTATGACTTTTACTTTTAAGCTATCTCTACACCTGAGTTAGTATTCAGGTCAAAGTTTGGATAGACTTCTGAACTAGCGCCTCTAGATCTAGTATTTCAATGAGTTGGAAACAAGCAGCCAAAAATGAGACTTTCCTGCGCGCTGCCTTCTCAGAATACCGGCTCCAGCCCAGGTCTGAAGCCTTGGGTCATGTGGGTTGGAAGCCACCCTGCACCACTGCACTGCTAGGCCTAGATTTATACACGTTTCCTGAATTGATCGACAACCGAAATCCCCGAAAGAAACTACACGGCCAGGGGCCGGGGAAACGTGAGCAATAACTGTGTGGCAGTTTCCTCAACTGCTACATAAATACTCTCTAGGCCATATCGACCGCCGGTCCCTAGAAACACGGATTATTTGAATCTCGTCTTTAAGCCCACATGATCTACGAAATACATTACCATTTTTTAAAGAATTTAATGTAATAAACATGGTAATAGCTCACCGAGTAAGACTTGGGTTAGCATCGGTGATAATCAGTCTTCAGCGAGATGGAGACAGCAGTAGCTAGCTAGCTGCAGTGCAGTACATAGTCGCATAGACTAGTCACCGCGCGCTAACGTACCTAGCCTGCACATCTCTATTCCACTGCTTGCACTGCACTAGCACTGCGCAAGTTTCTGCAACGAAGGCTACAGGCGTGTATTCCTCTAACATGCCTGTACTGTTGCAGTCATAGAACGTGTGCGCGGAATTTAGTACACAGTTAAGTTGGAAGCGCAAAGAACCGAGGACATGCTATGTGACGGTATTGGTTACGATGTAACTTTGAGACAAAAGAGGTTAAAATACTGAGAAAACAGCTGAAAATCTCTGTCAGTCCACAGTTACAGAAGACTAGACTGACAATATTAACTTATACTGACACAAAAACAACAACCAGGGAGAACACTCTCCCCGATACAACTGAACAATCAGATATTTATAGTTTAATCATTTGTCTGATTTTTATCAAACTTCCACTTAAACCATGCAACTACATGGAAAAGAGGGTCAGTTCCTTTAGATTCTGCTCATATTGTCTATTTCAGCTTTCTGTTCATTCTTGCAATTTTTTCTAATGATCCGAAGGCAAGACCAAAAGCTTAATGTCTCATTGTCTGTATTCATTGCTATATCCTTTCTCTCTATATCATATACTCCTTTTTAAACTATTTCCTAATTTCATCTTTGTTTATCTACCCTCTCTGTCCATGTTAGGACAGCTTCTGTCTCCTTGTATTCCTACATCCCAGTTGCAGTCCCCCTCTCCCTCTCTTTTTCTCTCTTTTCCTTTTTTTCTTCTCTCTCTTTCTCTTTCCCATTTCTTTTCCGTTTCATCCATTCCTGATTGTACTTTTTATCAATGAATAATAGTTCGATTGTAATGTTACCATATTCTACATTATGCATCTTATGAATTGTCACTGTGTTATTGTAAATTTTGCAATTCGACTTTGCCACAATTAAGTATTTTAATAAACCATTTTGAATTGAATTGAATTTTCTTATACCTACACGCATTAGTTTATTCAATGTTATTACACCTCTGAATGAATGAATTATTTTCACAATTCATTTTGTATTTGTATAAATATAAAATACAACAATTTATTACTATGTTCTTTTTTAATATGTACAAAATTCGGCAATTCGGCCAATTGACAGCAAATGAATTTTCCAAAAAACTATTACTACTACTACTACTGCTACTACTACTACTACTATTATTACTTCATTATTAAATTCATTGTACGTACATATCACGTTTTCACACAAAAAAAATAAAAAGAGAAATGAAAAAGCAGCTGTGTTCAGATCTAGTAGTCATGCCATTTATTAAAACATAAAATTGTGCATGCTTTGTGACATTGACAAGCATTCTGTGCACAAGTAACAAAACATACAATGGTATGAAAAGAATGGAGAAATGAAAAGGAGAGTAGAAAACACTGAGGCATATAACAGTCATGGCACTGGTGTACATCAATGATTAACTCTTCAAATCCTGGCATGCAAAGATAATTAAATTATACTTCCTCTTGCCTGATTTTCGTTTATATATTAGAGAGTCATTCTTTAACAAACCATTAAGAAAATGATAGAATTCAACAAACCATACAGAAAATGATAGAATTCAACAAACCATACAGATAATGATAGAACTTTAGAATAATCAGCAGTATTCATGATTGACTGAAAATTATACAAATATTTTATACATCTTTTTTTCCCCAAGAATGTGGTATATCTTAAGTTAACAGTACTAAATAAACATTATGTCTGTTCCTTGGTTACACGTTACCTTCACCATTATGCATCAATATATTTACAAACTACAATCACCTTAATCAGCGATCTCTACAAAACTTGACCAACTCTCTATCAAAGCCCAAGTATATGCATACATGCCAACATTTGAAAATCAGAAATCTGTACAAATTATGCTATTTTTAAAAAAAAGAGGAACAATCCTAACTCTCCTATTCAATACTACAGACAAATTTGTACAGGAAGAGGAACACCTGCATTAAAATGATAATTATCTTCTCCCAAAAAGAGGAATGTTCCTCTTTAATCTGAACAGTTGGCATGTATGTATATGGCCCACGTATTTGATGATTAGATCAATCTATGTAGCGCAGTTATTGTATAAAATACTCAACGGTGCTGATGATGAAGAAGAAAGAAAAAATACCGGTACTAGGCAATATATAATCTGTACTTGTTAATAGTAAATAGCTCGGATTTTAAAAAATAACAAATTCTCAATTATCATATTAAACATTGAGAAAGGCACTTTATTAAATCTTAACATAATAAGCATTGTACATAAAGTTATTACAAACAGCCTACCTAATTATGAACATTCAAAAATAAAACTTTTGTTCCTTTTTCCCAGCATGATCTTAATCAAATACACTTGATGCATGACCATAGCCATGTTTCACAAATCACTACTCCCTTCTTTGTACAAAAGAATATACATGTACTTAGTTTTCAAATTCCTAATTCTACACCATGCAAGACAGCTAGAGCGTCTCATGAACATCAAAGCATTCACCGATCACAACCAAGCTTAACTACATGTATCTTCCTTTACAAAGAAAATACATCATATGTTATCATTATCAAAATTTGGCCAAATAAGTTTCTTAAAACTTTTTGTTTTCACATGAATATCATACTTTTTTAAGACCTTTAAAAATTACAGAACATTGAACATGAATGACAACAAGCCTTTTGTAGGGAATCCCCTAACAATTACAGGTAAAGATAAAGTTGAGTTCTGGTCATGCAATTGCATTGTGAAAGAAACGTTGTGTAATCAATCAGAATAGGTTGATCTTCTATGATCTAGCATATAAGTATTAGTGTGTACTGCAAGGTTCTGGAATCATCAAAATGATAAGAAATTTGGCCCAGTCTTAAAAGTTAGAAGCACTGGACACAGAAAGATGTATATACGGGACTACACAAAACATGCGACATCAAAATCTGGCCTGATTTGTATGTTACATGCCACATTTAGAATATTAAGGCGCCATGCTTTTCAGAGAACATTTTTTATCTGATGTTCTTCCACACTTGCATAATAAATATGTACAATGATAAAGCTCACAAATAATTTTTCACCTCTTCCCAGAACTCAACCTTCTCTTTAACTATTGCAGGGGCCGCCAATACTAGCATACGTTTACCACTCCTCTTTAATCATTTGATCTAAATCGTTGTAAATTTTGTAGATGACCTTTATATCCCATATGTACAAGGAAAGACCAAAGAGCAAATATACATGTAATAACAGTTATTGATCTTCTTCATTCTTCTGTATTTACACCAAAATGACCATACACCATGGACAAAAATAGTCAGGATTAGAAAGTAATTTGACACTTAACGTGAAAGAAAGAAGAAGAGAAATCAAAAACAATTTTGTTCATTCAATTTTGAACCAAAACTAGAGGGTATATTTTGGTTAACAATGACCCTCAAATTTCACCTGTACTTTAAAGTTGAATAATCCATTCACAAATGTCATCAATGCTTTTGTTTTCTTCTAAACTCTAATTGGACAATGGATAATAAGAGAGAACAGTAGGTAAAATGAAAAATATTGATAACAGATCTGAATGAAAAAATTAAAATAGAGAATACAACAAAACTTTCCTCCCCTGCAAAATATAGTATAGATAACATAGGACATTTAAGATTAGAAATATAATTGCAGATAACCAAGTTTACTTGATTCTGAAGGCTCTTCTTTATTCAGCTCAACCATAAGATAGTATTATGTTCTGTACAATATAAACAAACAATAACAAGCCACTTTGCTTTATGATCATTCTGTAGTCAAGCTCATTAAGACCTCAAAGACCGCAAAGACACAAATATTTGAAGCTACAATTCAACAAGTCTTTTTTGCCCTGCTAGAACTTGAAGACAGGTACATGTCCATGAAGCAACTTAGAAAGCATATTCTACATGTATGTACAGACAAGAGGATACATCAATCTATCACATGCCAGGTAGATGCGTGGTAATTACAACAAATAATTCTTACAGAATCTTACCGAATATAAAAAATAGAAGTGGAATTTTTAGTTAAAGAAAAATTTGGCCAGTTCATATATACAGTGCGTCCCAGAAAAAACGAAACCGAGAATTATCAATGTTTTATCATAACTTAATCACAATTATATTTAATAAATGACACATATTTGTAAAGCTTAGATCATCCTTTTTCATTTGATGCAACTCATAAGATACACATTCCATGCGTAAGTGATTAAAAACAAATTGAAGGAAGGTTAACATTGGCGAAAGGTATCTGAATTTCAAAGAGAAAATCACATTTCTAGAAAGTTCATTTTCTGCCCTTTCATATGACACCTCAATAAAAAAAAACGAGCCAGGAATAACAAATTCTGTTTGTTTAAAGTAATGCTTGCATTTCCATAATTTTATTAAACAAAGACGAAAGACTTCATGCATGGCTGATCGTCAACGAAACAGAGGTTGTTTGTTGCTACGGCAAGCAGCCAGTGCAAACGAATACTCATGCATGAAATATGCATCATATGAGTTGCATCAAATGACAAAGGAGAATCTAAGCTTTACAAATATATGTCATTTATTAATAATAATTGTGATTAAGTTACTGTATAATACAGTACCTGTACCTTAAAAACCCACTAACACTGACAGCATGATAAACTATTGAAAAGCCCGAATCTGATGATCGGGGTAATAATATACGTAAAACACTTTGAGAGGACCGGCAGTCCTGTAAAGCGCCAGGCGCGTACACAGGTGGGGGGGGGGGGGTTTGGGGGGTTAAACCTCCCCTTTGCTATTTTTTTTGTGTAAACCCCCCCCCCCCACCCTTTGGATTTTTTTTCTCCTTTTTTTAATTATTAAAAAAAAAAATTATTCTCATGGCTGACCTAAAAAGGTGACCTTACCCCCCCCCCCCCAAGGGAGCCAAATGTCAAATTTTCAAATTTCGAGACCCCCCCCCCCCCCCCCCCCCCCCCCCCCCCCCCCGCTTATTCAGCGGCTGGCTGAGGCGTTGCGAAATATTCGGCCCGATTTATAAATGTTAACCCCCCCCTGAAAAAATCCTGCATACGCGCCTGTAAAGCGCTATATAAGAACGAGCTATTATTATTAAAATTACCGTAGTGGGTCCATGCTTATAGACAGCTTCACTCCAAATGTTATTTCATTTCCAGACTCAATATTTATGCAGTGGAAAACAATATCTATATTCAACAGAAAACTTGCAAATTAAAATGTGACTAAAATTACCTTTTAAAAAGAAATTAATGTAGTTTCTCAGCACGACATGGGCATCGCCGTTTTCTTGATAACGCGACGTACTATACGTGAAGTTGTTTATCAAGTAAATTTATTCAAATTTATGGATGCTTCCTTCCCAGGTGTGTGTGGTGATGAAGCATTTCATTCACCTGCTATCATCCTTTGTACTACAGTTTCCAGAACGCAAATTGCATAAATAAGTTGGTGCTCTTCAAGGGTGTAGGTTTCTCATGAATGAAATAGATTTGTTAAGTGCTCTAATCTAGTATTTTTAGATGAATTAGTTACAATTGTTCCCCTCTTATATATTTTCAACAAATATAATTTCTATCTTCCCAGCTATGATTTTTTACTCATTGAAGGGTAAAGGTTTTGTTATTGATTTAAAAAGTCTTTCCAACAAAAGATTGGTGTATGATACATGTACAATCTCAGCTGGTACGTCACATTTTCAAGAAGATGGCTGCGCCCATGACATGCTCAAAGGCATCACACCATGCCAAGAATATCTTGTACATTTTCGAAAAGAATATTGTACATAATCAATGGGCTGGAATACATCTCATTTTTCAGAATACTTTACACTTATTCCTTTGGGCGAGGTTTTCTTTTATGTAAGTTGGAGGTCGATATTCACCAACTTTAAATGCATGTAAATGTTGCTTGCCTTAAGAGCAAAGATTACCTCCAAACTTCTGACTTTCTATAAATATAAATGTATAAAATGAGTACAATCATAACTGAAGAAAAATTTGCAAACATGATAAAAATAAACAAACATTGCAAAATATTATACATAACACATTATAACCACATAACTTTAAAGTCTGCAATACTGTTCCTGCACATATCAATGAAATAATATACAGCTTGATCGAACCACTTTTCTCATGTATAGAAGCAATTTTATTTGCTCATCTTTCAAAGCATGGAATATTAATATAACATTCAGATATGACATGGTAACTGCCGCAAACAAAACAACACATTTTTAAAAACGTGTAAATAAATGGCAACTGCGTGCAACAAAGGTCGTGCGCGTATTTACAGAGCTCTGTGTTTTAAGATACAGAAATGTGACACGTACATGTAATACGAAAAATAAGAATTAGGAATTTTTAGCACGGTATGCCTTCGAAAATAAAGAAATCGCACTTGCAGTGGCAGTGTAACTGGCAACACGCGGTAAATCTGTACCAAAAAGCGAATAAAAATTTGCTGCTCGATCATGAAGCCATTTAACAGATGCAATCAAACACTCATAAATCGTGGCATATGATAAAACAAGCTTAATTTGGCTTAAGCACCAAAAAAAAACCAAAAAAAACACAACATTTTGAAAAATCAGAATATTCTGGATTATTCGTAAGGGTTGGAGGTATGGTATTACACTTAACGTCATAATTTGTTTTAAAAAATACCATGATTTTACGTCAAAACTGAATGAGGCCTTACTGTGAATTTTGTTCCTTAACTGTCAACTAAGCTATACAGCAGTCACAGAAAAAATGAAACCAGTTCACTATCCATGATACACAAGTAACACAACAGTACGGTGGTGGTCTTTCACACTTCAACAATGTTTCAATAAATACGTGCAGCCATTACGACAGTGGCGATTAATGAAAGATATATATTTTCGTACAAGATAGTCCAAATAAGAAAAATAAATAAATCCACCTTGTTTGTACATCCCGCTGAGCTTAGCAGGCTGGCATTGAGAAACAATCCTCAAACTGATAATTCAGGAAAACATACATATGTCTCTCCTGTTTAATATCACTTCTTGGGCTTCAAGCGGAACCAGTTTGGCTTCTTAGGTTGGAGTCCAGAAGTGATAGAATCTGTCTTTATTTTGTTGGAGACACCATTCCTAGTGACCTTAACATCTGCTCCACATGGTTTCTCTGGATTCTGCTTGGAATTCTCTTGTGGATGGGTAATGGTACTGAACTGCTCTTTCTCTTTCACAAACTTGCTCATTAATGGTTTGGCAAGAATTTCTCTTGAAGAATCCTGAGCCTTTTTTGTAGCATCCTGAGCTGATGTCTCTTCAGGATTCCCTTTGCTTGTAATATCTTCAGTCTTTGTTTGCTCTTCATTCTTAGAACACTCTTCAGATGATACCTCGTCCAGACCAAAAGAATATGTTTGTGTGGGTATGTGTCTAGTTAGGGATGAGCCAACCAAGAAGTAGCTTTGTGTGGTAGAATAGTTTGGGTCTGTATAGACGTTTCTATTTGCTTCAATGTACGCCTTGACTTCCTCCAATGTGGCTAGCGTCTGTGTTGATTTCAAGTGAGTTTGTACCCTCTTGGACCATTTCCTCTTGAATGTTGGAAGTTCTCTTTCAGGGAGGCTCATATTGTATGTCTGTGTTCTGACACTGGTCTTGCCCTCTGCTCTGCTTTCCTGCGATCCTGTCACAATGATGCTAGGTTCCCTATACCATTCTCCCATGGCCTGGATATGAGATTCAACTTCTTCCACTTGGATTTCTGTTTGAGATGAACAGTCAGTTATCATTGCACAAGGAATGTTACTTGTGATCATTGATGAGGCTGCTGGAAGGATGTCAAAATTAATCACTTTCTCAAGAGTTGGAGGTGATCTGTTTGCTTTACGTATCCTTCTCACTTTATTCTGAGTTGTAGATAGTCCTTTTGCTTCCTGTTTATCACAAAAAATGGGTGAGCATGTATCTTCAAAACAATGTGATAATTTCAGGTTGTAAGTCTGAGTTCTCATATCACAAGTTGTTTCCTTTTTGTAAAGTGGTCTTGGCATCCAAATAGGTTCCAAATAGAGTTTCCCTTTTGAAGTGACAAAGGCCTCCACTTCCTCAACTGTTGCATCTGTCTGGGTAGGTGAATTGCAGGTGTCACTTCTGCCAGCTTGTTGGACTTCTTGGCGGGCCAGGAAACAGATCGACAAGTCATCTTCTGCTCTTACAACAGATAGCGGTGGTGCTGTACTTGATTCTAACCTCCTCCTGGCTTTCTTAATACTTCTGGAATTGTCAATAACACTTTGGCACGATTGCTGCACATCAGAGAGCTTTCCATTCTTTGGTGATTTTGTAGTTTCACCACAGTCTGTCTTGTGCTCAGGAGTATCGATCGGATGATTCCAAGGCCTTTCCTTCTTTTTCTTCTCTGAAATATCAAGTAGTTGCTTTAGAGGGCTTTCATCATTTCCCTGCTCATAAGAATCAGCTGGGCACTTCCTAGACCTTCCTACCTTTTTCTTCATCTCAGAAGTATCAACCATTTGCTTGCTTGGACTACCTTTCTGTTCTGATTCAGGGATATCAACAACTTGCTTTCGAGGCCTTCCCATCTTTTTCTTTGTCTCAGAAGTATTAACCAGTTGCTTGCTTGGACTGCCTTTCTGTTCTAATTCAGCGATATCAACAACTTGCTTTCGAGGCCTTCCCATCTTTTTCTTTGTCACAGAAGTATCAACCAGTTGCTTGCTTGGACTACCGCTTTTCTCTGATTCAGGGATATCAACAACTTGCTTTCGAGGCCTTCCCATCTTTTTCTTTGTCACAGAAGTATCAACCAGTTGCTTGCTTGGACTACCTCTTTTCTCTGATTCAGGGATATCAACAACTTGCTTTCGAGGCCTTCCCATCTTTTTCTTTGTCACAGAAGTATCAACTATTTGCTTGCATGTACTCCCTCTCTCTTCTGATTCAGAGATATCAACAACTTGCTTTCGAGGCCTTCCCATCTTTTTCTTTGTCACAGAAGTATCAACTATTTGCTTGCATGTACTCCCTCTCTCTTCTGATTCAGCGATATCAACAACTTGCTTTCGAGGCCTTCCCATCTTTTTCTTTGTCACAGAAGTATCAACAATTTGCTTGCATGTATTCCCTCTCTCTTCTGATTCAGCTATATCAACAACTTGCTTTCGAGGCCTTCCCATCTTTTTCTTTGTCACAGAACTATCAACAATTTGCTTGCATGTATTCCCTCTCTCTTCTGATTCAGCTATATCAACAACTTGCTTTCGAGGCCTTCCCATCTTTTTCTTTGTCACAGAAGTATCAACTATTTGCTTGCATGTACTCCCTCTCTCTTCTGATTCAGAGATATCAACAACTTGCTTTCGAGGCCTTCCCATCTTTTTCTTTGTCACAGAAGTATCAACCATTTGCTTGAATGTACTACCTCTCTTTTCCGGCTTAACTCTATGAGAAACTTGCTTTCTAGGCCTTCCCATCTTTTTTGCTCTGTATTCCTGAAATTTCTTGTTTGCTTCTACATTTCTTTTTGCATTAGAATGCAGTTTGGGCATACCAAAAGTAACTATATGAGTAAGGTGCTTTCTAGGCCTTCCCATCTTTTTTGCTCTGCATTCCTGAAATTCTTTGTTTGCTTCTACATTTCTTATTGCAGCAGAATGTAGTTTGGGCATACCCGATTTCTTTGAACGGGACCATGAGATATCAATTCTGCCATCTTGTTTATCAGTTTTAACACTTGAATGAACTCTTGGCTTCCACACCTTTCTCATACTTGAAGGAGTAATATTAACATTTGCTTCTGAGGTACTCTTTAGCCATTTGGAATCATTACTTGGGGATACATGTGCTTCTTCACCATCTGATTTCTCATGTGTGGCAGGATGTGACCTATTCCTGAACGGTGTTGAGAACTCCTGAGGCCCTTCAGATTCAGTGGATGTTGTGTGGGTGATAGATTTGCTCCTTAGTGGAGATTTCCAGGGGCTTCGCATGTGTGAACAGCAGTACTTCCTCTTCCGCACGTTGAGTGTAGGAATTGGCTGAACAATATTGGTGGAAGAGCCAAGTTCTGTCTTTGCTTTAGCCAATGATGGACTTTCTGATGGATGCATATGCTTTGGTTCCTTTCTACTGCTTCTGGTGATCCTTTCTTCAGCATTTAACAGCATCTGAACATCATCAATTGCCTCCTTCCACAAACCATCTTTTGGCCATGATTTTAAAATTTCCCAATGTGTTCTTTTACCTCGACATTTGGATTGTTTAAATGCATTTGTGAGTACCTCATCCAGCAAACTTCTGCACATGTTTGCAGTTTCAGACACTGCTTCTGTACTTTTGAACCCAGCTGATACATCTCTGTTCATCAGTTGATCACTTGTATCTGTAAGTATTGCTGAAGGCATTGCTGATACCTGTGGAGTGGAGTCTACTTGCTGCTCATCAGCTGATATAAGAGAGTGACATGGTTCTTTGATTTCTCCTTTCGGTGAACCTTCTTGGGAGTGTACCACGCATCCAGAGTGGGAACAAGAACCAGAATGACTCTTCCTTTGCGATATCATTCTTGGCAATATATCACCTGAAATGTGCAATGCAGATGGTTGTTCCATATGATGCCCTATGTACCCTTTTCCTGTTTGTAACCCTTGATCAAGGTCATCACTTTCTTTCTTGTGAGGCATCTTTCCATGGAATGACTGTAGATGTTGTGTTCTCTCATTGGGTTGTATGACTGCATCTGTTTTTACTTGGTTGACAGGACTCTTGCTGCATTCCACTACTTCAGCTTGATTGGAATGAGAGACACAGGACTGCTTACTATTTCCAGCATGTGTGCTTACCTTTAGTGAGTTGATTTCCTTCAAATATGGCACAAAGTGTCCGTGATGATCTCTCTCTCTATCTTGATGAGTTGATAACTCTGGGGATTCAGAGGCCTGCCTTGGTTTCTTTACAAGAGGAAGTGAAGATATAGCAGCATGTGACGAGGGTGAAGAGCGTAAATGTTGTCTTCTTTGTGAACCTTTCTTACAGCTGTATGAACGTCTCACATTCACTGCCTGTGCTATAGTTACTCTAGCTTCCTTAGGTTTCTTCTCTGAAAATGAAAGTGCTTTTTTGCTTCTTTTTGACAGGCAGTTGTCTTTCTGTGGTGTGATTTCACCATCACTCATTTCAGGCATTTCTGTAAGTTCTCCATTGAAACAATTCACTTCATTTGCAACACTTTGGACCTTGCTTGAAGTAGGCTCTGTGAGGTGAGTTTCATATCTCATATTGTATGTCTGTGTGTATCCACTTCTGAAGTTGCTGTCTTGTTTTAATGTAGGAGGTACATTACATGGTTCTTTGTAATGGAGTCCCATTGATGCAACGTAAGCCTCAGCGTCCTCTATAGTAGCTGTTGTTTGTGATGATCGATCGAGCAGCAGGATATGCCTCTCTACATCGTGCACACTTGATTTACTCTCACTGTCATCTAAATTGGAGGAATCTGAGGAATCTAACTTGGAGGAATTTGTATAATCATCCAAGCAAAAGACCTCCAATAAACTTTTCCTTGATTTTCGCTTGATTGCTTCTCCAAAGTCATCGTAGCCCGTTTCAATTGCATCATCATGTGTCTGGTCTACTTGTTCACTTTTCTTTAATGAGGTCAGAAGCGAAGTACTCAGCATTTCAAAGCCTGTGGAAGTTTTGTTTGTTACTGAGCTGGATTTAGTCTCTACATCTTTGTGAATGACACTTCTTGTTGTCCTCCCATCAACTTGGGAAAGGATGGCAAGATCTCCTTTCGCTTCTTTCCATGTCATATCATCCTTCCATGAAGTAAGTGCATGAAGTTTTTTTGTGCCAGCTGACAATGTGTTGATATTTGCAGGCTTCTCTACCTCTGTATGTAAAGACTGTTCTTGTCTTTCATTTATCTGCTTGTCATTGGGAATCTGACAAGATCCTTTGGTGGAAGATTCATTGGATGATGGTACTTTATTCCTGACAACTTTCTCACGAATTATTGCATTATTTGATGCTTTTGGGCTGGCCCATAGACCATTGATCGGATCGCTGAGTGTATGCCCTGGTTGATGCAGAGGAAGAGATGGTGAATGAAGAAGTTCAAACTTTCTCTTCTTTTTGGTTGAAGAGCTAGGAGCTGTAGTATCTGCTAACTGTGTCCCATCTTTCTTCAAGGCACTCCTTGTAGCCCTGCCATCAACCTGATACAAATAAGCCAGATCTTGCTTTGCTTCTTTCCAGGTTGTATCATCCTTCCATGATGTCAGATCATTCAGCAGGTATTTCCCTTTGCGTGTCAGGTTTTCAGTGGGCAATGAGATGACACGTGTCTCTTTGTCCTCTGAAAAGGATACAGGAGAATCAGAATCTAGAGGAGAATCAGCAGGGGACTCCAGGTTGGTAGATACTGAGCACTGTACATCAGATATTGTTTGGAGGGAAACAAGTGGTTTCTGAGTGATGTTAACACTATCAGTACAGTGTGCTTTTCTCTCATTTACCATTTTTGTTGTTGGTGTTGTCCCATCTTTCTTCAAAGCACTCCTTGTAGCCCTGCCATCGACCTGAAAGAGATGTGCAAGTTCTTGCTTCGCTTCTTTCCAAGTGGTATCATCCTTCCATGATGTAAGATCATGTAACAGGTTCTTTCTTTTGGATGGCATGTTCTCATAGGTTACTGGGATTATTTGTGCCTTTATCTCGTCAGAGAGTGCTACAGGAGAGTTGGACTTTTGATGAGAATAGACATGATGATGGCTGTTGGATAATGCGCTCTTGGTATCACAGGGTTTATCTTCGGGAAGATGTGGTTTCTGAGGGATTTCATCTCTGTTGATACAACTGCCTTTTCTTTCCTCTCCTGTAGGTTTAGATGGTGTCTTCCCAACATTCTTCAAGGCACTCCTTGTAGCCCTGCCATCGACCTGAAACAAATGAGCAAGATCTTGCTTTGCTTCTTTCCACGTGGTATCATCCTTCCATGATGTAAGATCATGTAACATGTTCTTTGTTTTGACTGGAATATTTTCAGAGGTTACTGGGATTATTTGTGCCTTTATCTCGTCAGAAAGTGCTACAGGAGAGTTGCATTTTGGAAGAGATTCCTGAGACTCAAAACTGGACGAAGGTACCTTTGAACCATGTGTATGTTGTTTTTGTGATGAGGTTGATTTCTGAATGCCATTACTATTATTGCAAGTGGCTCTTCTGTCCTGACTTACTTCTGAGCTGTCTGATGCTTTTGATGGTGACCTCCTCCAAAGGAAAGATCCAACTGAACCGAGCAATCTGCTACCCCAGCTCAGCTTCACAGCTGATTCTTTGCCATTTACACTAGAAGCATCAATCTCGGAAGGTGTAGACACATTTTCATGAGAAGATTGAAGGACATCACCTTTCCCTTTGGATGAAGATGTCTCTTTCATCTCAGTCTCAGTTGGGAGGTTACATGAATTGAGGTCTAATTTCCTGGCCTTCTTACATTTCAACTTATTACTACTCTTGCGCTTCCTGGATGAGCTGGCAGCTGGAGAAAGAGATGGCATGCTGAGGTTTGGACAATACCTGTTTTTGGATGGGGGTTCCAGGGCTACGTAGCAATCTAACTTTGGTAGCAATTCTCTGTAATTGCCAACAATTGGTTGCTGGGAACTACCAGGCCGTGAATCTCCCCATTCATACGTTGGAGACAGTGACACCCTGGGAAACTTCATAGTGTGACAGGGTGTACATTTTGGAGAGATTGAAAGTGAGGACTTTTGACTGGACACAGGCGACAAAGGTGGACAGACTGGGGTACTGCTCTGTTTTGTCTTCTTCAAATGTCTGGGTGTTGTTGGAGGTGGACGTGGACGCTTGCCTTGTGACCTGATGGCTGATCTTACTCGGGTACCACCTTGACCTGGAGTTCTCGTCTGTTGAGTTCCTGGGGAGCAAGTTGATTTCACTGTACCCGTTCCTTCAGTGGCAGCACTTTGCGCCAGAAAACCTGAAATTGGTGAAAAAGAGTTTTCAGATTTATCTCAAAATGTTATAAGCATATGTAATGTAAACATCTGAATGTGGTTTTTAGGTAGTATATTCAAATTTATAATCTTCAGATGGACCAACCAATGTGGGGAGCCTCTCAAGTTTTTGGCTACTGTAGCTTTCTCATCTTCTTTGTCATACCTTTTCCAATATATACAGGGAATAATTTTCCTGGTATCGCATCGCAATTTGCTATGCATTTTTGCATGACTGCTATACAAAATATCTTTTGTGTAGCAGTTTTCTTCCATAGAAATGTACAGAATTTCATTTGAAATATTTATCCATCGCCTGAAATTGCTAATCAAAAAATTTGAGGAAAATTATTCCCTGATATATGTACATATATAATTTTGTTTGCCTCGATACCCGATAATAATATACAGCAAACCATTCAAACATCTACGCAAGTATCATAATTAGTGTATTTTGTCATCTTCAAAGCTAAGGTTACATGTACATCGATGACAGGACAAGAAGTACATCCCTACATAGTTTCCACATTTTTGGCAGAACTACTTAATAGGCACAATACTCTGAACAAAACTCAATTGATTTTCCTTCTCCTTTGTTACTTGTTTGGCAACATTTTGAATACGTATAATGCTTGAATGCATGCATAATAAATGTCTTGCTCTCCTATTTTTCCATCATATAAAGCAGGGTATTTGTCAGAGAGCTTCCAATTGGCCGAGCTTCCAATTGGCCGAGAGCTTCCAATTGGCTTCCAATTGGCTGAGAATGTGACATTAAGTAATCTGCTATATGTTCACAAGCTTGCACTACAACAACTTTTTTTCTATGGTATATCGTATACAAAAGTGTGTCATACTGTATATCTATTAAAGCAACCATGCACGAACCCATTGTTTCCATTGTCTTGGCCACACACATTTGATGCAGAAAGCTACATGAATCTCATTAAAACGGGTGACTAGAAGTTAAACAAACGTTGAGATCACAAATACCCATCATTTTATTTTGCAAGTATTGAATGCATATCATCATTCTATATAACATATATTCACCTCCAAATTCTAAATTTCCTTTGTATTTTATCCTAAGTCTGTGGCCACTGTGGAATACAACAGCAATCTTGAAATTCTGAATTTGTTGGTTCATTTATTTCTTCATTCTTTATTAGTTCTGGTGCATTTGACTCACTTATGATTCAATATATTTGGGGGTATATTTATTAGTATTACTATTACTATTTCACCACTGTAACCTCCTCCGCATCTATGAAACAGTGCAAGGGCATGTTAACATACAACGCAGGTTTTATCAATTCGCCTGGCTTGTATTCGATCTGAAAATCGAAAAACAGACACTTTATCATCGACTGAGCTATCTGGTCTCCCCATTAGCCTAACTTGACCAATTTCACTTTTATAACCCTGATGAAAGCAGAGAGTCAGGTACCCACAACAAAGTTTATATTTGAGCTAATTGTTACCTCTAGTGAAGGTTGAAGTACAGTCCTTGCATGCCCAGTCATCTAGAGAAGTTACTAATCCACCACAAGACACATGGCATCCAGCTGAACCACATAGATCACATAGTACAATCTCCCATTGACTGAAAGACAAAAAGATTTCAAGTTGTGCAAGATGTTCCACAAGGGGTTTAAACATGTAACAACGACACGTTTGAATTGGAGTGTACAGGTTTTAAAAATCAGCGTCAGGTTTTTGTTTGAAAATGCTTAAAATACACGTCTCAGATTGCACCAGAGTACATCTAAGAACCTGAGCCCTCCGGTGAGCCCTGGAGCCTGGCCAAAAGGGACTTTGTGCTTCGTTTATATTAGTTATTATACTCCTTTCATGTTCCACTTTAACATGTTTGAATGTTTGTTTGTGGACCACAATGATGTGATGGTTCTAAATACCACAATCACACTATTTACATATGCATTTAGGCATGAACTAGGGCAGATACGAGGGGTAACAAGCAATCTTGCAGACTGGATAGTGGGCCATTAGAGTAGTAACTTTGAATAGCTAGATTTCATCCAAAGATGCATTATGACAAGTACACCATTATGTTGTGCATCTTCATATTGGTATTTTCAACTTCTATGAGATTCCCTCCTAGAGGCACAACTTCCAATATGGTCCTCTTCTTATAAACCCCTCTACCAGAAAATGCCATGCTGAGCAACGTTCAGTGTTCATCTTAACCCGTAGCAGTTCAGAGTTTTATTATGGTCTAAATTAACCTCTTTCCCCTCTTCAAATGCTGAGCAACGTTCAGTGTTCATCTTAACCCATAGCAGTTCAGAGTTTTATTATGGTCTAAATTAACCCGTTTCCCCTCTTCAAATGCTGAGCAACGTTCAGTGTTCATCTTAACCCATAGCAGTTCAGAGTTTTATTATGGTCTAAATTAACCTGTTTCCCCTCTTCAAATGCTGAGCAACGTTCAGTGTTCATCTAAACCTGTAGCAGTTCAGAGTTTTATTATGGTCTAAATTAACCTGTTTCCCCTCTTCAAATGCTGAGCAACGTTCAGTGTTCATCTTAACCTGTAGCAGTTCAGAGTTTTATTATGGTCTAAATTAACCTCTTTCCCCTCTTCAAATGCTGAGCAACGTTCAGTGTTCATCTTAACCCGTAGCAGTTCAGAGTTTTATTATGGTCTAAATTAACCTCTTTCCCCTCTTCAAATTGGCAACAATTATTATAATTTTCCTCTTTAGCTATTTGCTAATTTAAGGAATTTAATGATTAGGTACAGTTATATTGCTCTTATTGTGACTGGCACAACCTACTGCGCTGGAAATAGACTCAAACCTTTTTTGTGTGACTTTAGCTCTTTCTGGGAGGTGTTTCATAAAGAGTTTGTAAAGTTACGCATGACTTTACAAACAGCTTTATGAAACACCCCCCTGCTCATGTATAATGTGTTATTCCTAGCATTCTTGATCAAAAGATGATGCAAAACATGACTAGAAGGAGACACTGTACAGTCTTATGAAGGATGAACTGTCTTACCCTGACTGTGTGTGATACTTTCTGCCCCTGGGGCATCTACATTGATCTACATCACATCGGTTGTGCCTCTCATACAACTCCTGGTAAGCCCCACCTCCAGACTCCCAATCAGCATCCCTGACAAGACAAAGGCAAACAAAGTGAGTCACATAGTCCGTATTATATTTTTGATCAATGAAATCCTGTTCAGTGATTGGTCAACATAGCATCATGTGACCGAGCATAACATTTCTATGATGTGACGGTGATGTCATCCATGGTATAGTAAGCACCATGGCACTATACCATGGATGACGTCATATATATGCGATCGATCAAGATCAATGTGCTATCGGTCGCGGTCTCGGTACTGGTCGTCTGTGCTGCTCTCACTGCACTCCACACTACTTCAGTGACAGTTAACATAATTATTATTATCATTATTATTTTCATGAAGGTTGGTTTGAAAAATATAAAACAAATATATAATGCACTATTTCTAGCCTCTAGTTGAAATTATGGATTCCTCGGCGACAGAAATAGCACTATTTCTGCCACCTCGATCCAGAATTTCAACTAGAGCCTCTCAGTGCATGGTATATTTGTTTATTATTTCACTGTAGTATCCATACACCAAGAATCTTGCAAAACGAGTGGTCAAAATTCATTGGGTATGCTTAGGCCATAAACGAAGCAAGCCTAAAAGCTATATCTAATTTTCTGTTTGACTACCAGTAAACAAAGTATTTGGAGGCAAAAATGGTTATGATGTTCCTGCATCAATCAACATCCATACGAGAATGAAAATATAATTAACTCTGCATAAATCGACAAGTCAATATTATATCTAAGTTAAATTTCGCATAAGTAAAACAATTTTTGTGGTCTCAACAGATTCAACTCATGCAAAGTTATCTGTATACTTCTTTTATTTTGCCATGAATTTTTCAAAGAATATAGAATGGGTCGAAGGCTTATATTTTAGCAACTTTTCTGGCATTTACAATTCCTTTCATGAGGGTACTCCTACATCTTTCAAATCAACATGGCGACTTTGACCAATAGAGGTGTCCTATTTAGGATTTCAAATACTTGACTGGAAATTGAAGGTTGTAGGTTCGATCCCCAACACTGCACTTTGTACTTTGGTAAGAAGTTAATCTACATGACGAAAAACCTTGGTGATACAAAGTGCCAAATGCCCTCACGGTGACCATAATGGTACAAAAACTCCCAGGGAGTGGAAATAGTGCACACTGTGTAAGTGAATGAATCCGCTAATTGGGGTAATAATAATATCTGTAAAGCACTTTAAAACGGTAGTCAGTAGTAAGTGCCTTACACATCCACGTTTATTATTATTTATTATATAAAAATCAGACATAAATATACATGTACTTCAATATATTTCTTCACTTACTTTTCTGGAAGATAGATCCCAAATTTCTTCATCTCATCCTGAAACTCATTCTCATTGTTACAGATGGCACATCGAAAGAAGTAACCAGCACTTAGAGCTTGCATCTGGAGGATAATCAATTACAAAACATAGGGATCATGGAGAAATGGAACAATATTTCACTTTATGGCAAGAAATATTTTAATGCAGTGATGCAGTTCCTTGCTTTATCTATTGATCCATTGTCATAAATTGCACATTCAGAATTAAGATAAAACCTCATATATGGTACTCAGGAAACACTAACTAAGCACTGTGTGTTTGATACGAATAAGGTAAATGTCAAAAAATGGGAGAGCCTTTGACATTTTAGAGAAAGAATAAACATTGTTTTGGCTACAGTCAGTGACCTAACATATGTTCTAGCTTTATTAAAGATATAAGGTTATGGTTGCAATAATGCAGTTAGTATAGTGCTGTCAACCGAGCCGAAATTTGACAAGATTCCCAGCGGTTTTAGGGTACAGGGACGATTTCCAGATCATTTCATGCTGACTATATCTTGGTAAAAATTCCCAGACAAATTTTTAAAAGACTACGAGTGTAAATCAACTGTAATCTTAATCAAATTTACTCTATTATGCCCTCAATATTTTGTGCTTATTATGATGTTGGAAATTAACAGACACCCATTGGAGTTAGAAATACATTGTTATTCAATGCTTTAAGAACATGTCGAATTTCGATGAAGATTCAATCAGCATTTGCAAAATTCGGAAGTGTGACGACCAAGGAATCTTCATTTACATGTACAGGGTAGTCAGCTAGCTAGCTCCGGGTGTACCAGCTTTGACGATTCGAGGGCTAGGGGTAGTTGTGGAGGCAAAAGGCCTTAAAAAGACAAGACTATGAGCGTTTTCTGGAACCTAGACAATCCGGGATCCCGTTATGAAAAGTAAAAAATTTAAGGGATGGTTCTTAGATGGGATTTGAAGTCTAGATAACACTAGTTGCGATTGGTTTTAAGTAAGTCTTAGGGTTACTTGTAGGGTAAGGTATGGTGATGGGTCAAGGGTCAAATTTAGGAAATCAATTAGTGTTATAAATTGATGGCATAGCAATTTTCACAGGAGCATTTGCAGTAGAAAGAGATAACGTGTTTAGTTTTAGGTGACTAACCTGGACACAGTCTCGATGCAGCCACGAGCCTTTACAGCAGGGTGTCTTGAGAACACTGTTGCTTGGTGTGGTCTCCACATTGTCCATACATATAGGACAAGTTCCTTTGCTTGGTGAACAGGAGGAAGGCAACACCTTCTGGACAGGGCGGTGCTTGTTACAGTAGGACCTACGTTAACAGTCAAAAGATAATCTTCAATTCTCTCAATTGTGTGAGTAGACAATCTCAAATATACCATTCATTTTAGCTTCATGTACCGAATAAAATATTTGGAAAAAAACCAGAAAGACAAAAAAACCTTGTTGATAAATAGATACACTTAATAGAAACATGACTTGTAACAGAGGAGCGATAGCTTCCATTTTACATTCCTTTCAAGTATCTACACTGATATTCATCGGAAAACATTGACAGGACAAAAAAATATCTGGCACATATATATATTTTTATATTCATAGAATATGAGACTATATATAAAGTGTCTCTTTCCAACCAGAACTATAAGCTCTCACAGAATTCCAATTGAACATATCGTAAGTTCCTTTCTTACAAGTTTTATACTTAGCTGAATGAAATGGAGACCAAGATTTTAAGTTTTTCTGGAACCATGGCCCATGTACATAAAGCACATTCAATTTTAAGAAACAAACACAAAAAATAATAGTCTGGATTTATATAGCGCCTAATACGAAATACTGTCTCTCAGCGCTTTACAGATATTACCCCGATCATCAGATTCATTCAGGCACAATGTGCACCATCTCCACTCCCTGGGGAGTATTCCTACCATATGGTCATCGTGAGGGCATATGGCAATTACTAACACAAGGGCGTCCATCATCATGCCTGGGTATGGAGTGGCAAATGTAGATTAGTGCCTTGCCAAAAGACATTAGTGCTGTGTCAGGGATTGAACCCACAACCTTTGAATTTCAAATCAGTGATTAAACCACTGGACCACGACACCTCTCATAAATTTTTCTTAAAAGGAATTTTGAAATATTTTCTCTCATAAATTCTAAAATTTGGGCTCAGGTTATAATGGATCAACTGTAAACATATAAGTAGACTTAAAAGACCTTCTTGGTCAATAATCTTTTCAAAATTTGTTGTTAACTATATAAATGTGATGCAATAACATTTAAGCATCGTTGATTAATAAGCCAGTCTGAGCATGAGTAGATAGGGGTCATTGCAGACCAAATTGTGAAATACATGGAGACAAAATACTGGATACGTGCTCATGAAAGTTACGTAATCATTATTCATGTATGCATAAGCAGTGCACTCCATGATACACATGTGGAAGTATTCTTTGAAAAGGGGAAACAAAGGATATTTATGTAGCACCTCCATCACTGTAGGAGTGATTATTTCAAAATGTACAAATTGGGACCTCTTTATGTTTTGAAGATCTGTGGATATTCAAGGTCATTTTGGACTTGTGGTAACCTTAAACTGGTCTATTCAGCTGCAACTGACAGTATCTCTACACAGTTTCTATCATTTTTTCTTGACCTTATGAACATAGTTTGAATCCCAGCAATCTTTAGCTGATTAGAAAGCAGTGAAAACTTACACAAAGCTGTCATAGAAGAGGAAGATTGCCTCCTCATCTACTCCGCATCCATAGTGGTAGATCTGATGACATGCCCTTACTGAGCAACCCACTGACGCTCCTTTCTTCTTGCAGTACTTGCATTTCTAAACAGTCATGGGACACAGTGGGATACATGGAAATGATGAATGACTGAATAAAAACAACTTGTATTCTACCACAAGAAAAGAATTTTGAACTTTATTCAGTTTCACATGCATTCATGAATTTGAACAAAAGAACAGATCAACACTATAATACCATAACAAAAACAAAGGAGAGATGAATTTAAAAGAAAATACAAAGTGTTCCTATACAAATTCAAACACAATAAGGAATTAACAGTCACAAGACTATCTCTCTCTACCCAGTCCTTATGTATGGTAGTGAAACATGGACTTTAGCCTCTGATACTAAAAAATGCTTGGAAAGTTGCAAAACATGGTTTTTAAGAGGAATTATGAAAATCCCTTGGACTGACAAAGTTAGTAATGAGGAAGTTCTTAGAAGAGCTGGGGTGCAAAGGAAAATGATATGTGAGATGTTGATTAGGCAGTTGAAATTCATGGGTCACATTACACCTAAAGAAGGCCTAGAGAATCTTGCTTGGACAGGGAAAATTGTGGGAAGGAGGAGTAGGGGAAGAAGAAGGATACTTTGGATGGACAGTGCAGAAAGTGTAAGAAGAGAGAGGAGTGAAAGAACTGGGAGTGGTGCTAATAGAGAAGGATGGAGCAGAGGGTTGTGGAACAGCATGATTGCCAAAGTCAATTGATATGGCATTTAGAGAGAGAGAGAAGACTAATTCTGTATGACATGAGAAAAACTATTTATTTTTTCTGAAAAAATTATTCTGCATGACAAAATCCTCATGCTGAAATTACCTCCATTGCTAAAATAATTCAGGGAATTTTCTAGTTTGTGATTTGTTCACTTACCAGTTTTTGTGCTCGCTTCCTCTCTGCCAAGATATCCTTGATCAAGAATCCTTCGATCCCTTCATGGCTCTCACCACGTTGACTCAGTCCACAAGCAAATAGCTGCAAGTATAAATATTATAACCATTTCTCAATATGTTTTCCCTTTTCAAATTCTTATTAAACTCACAAGAATGGTTTCATAATTTTGATGAAATAGAAGGTGTAAAAATAAAAAACTTAAATGATCTGCCTAAAAGCAATTCTGAGGAAGGATACTATGTACTAAATAACATTTTAAGAATCATCAAAAAATATGGGTATGTTCAGAATAGCAGAAATGTCATTGTTTGCTGAAGACAACATACATTTACACTTAGTTACAGATTACAAACAAGGGGGTACATTACAAAAAAGGCAAAACATGCCTTGAAGACAACCTGCAAAAAGTTATTTAAACCACACTTTAAATGTAATAAAATTATTAAAAAGTTTATTTCAGGGTTTTGAGCTTTAAAGGTACTATGTCCCATTTGCAGGCCAAAAAAATGAAAAATTTAAATTCCAACTGCATTTGAAAGATAATACTAATTCAGAACTTCCCTAAAAAAGGTGGGGCTTGAAAATGTCTTCAAGTGGGAAAATAAAGACTATTAGTTGTCAAATCGACTTTAGGGCTATAGAGCCCAAAAGTAATAGTCTTACTCTTCATTTTCAGACAATTGTACCGAATGGTCATACGTTTTATGCTGCACAAAGATTCAATCAGTTTAATCTTGGCCATCACAAGAAGTGGGTTATTGATGTAGACAAATGCTCATGTACCCTTTACAACTCTTTTCATGTATGTTATTACCAAAGAAGAAAAAAAGCCAGTCAGTCACTCAATAGTGTCTGACAGTGAAGTCTAGCAAGTAAACGGGTTCCCTTGCATAATTTGAATATGAGGACACTGCTTAAGTTTAAATTTCACAGATAGGACATACATGACATATTCATAATTCCTGCATAGTTCTACAGCATTTGAGGTTGGCTGCAAAAGGGACATAGTACCTTTAATACATTACACAACTCTAGTTTGCAGAGGGGGATGGGCAGGGGGGGGGGCATTTCTGTAGGAGTGGAGATGGGTTGTAATATTTGAAATCTTGTCCAAATCCTTGTAATGAAAGCTAATGAAGATCATACATAATCAAAATACTCTACTTACCATACAGTAGTAATGAGCATATATCCCACTTTCTTCATGATGAAGAAATTTACCATACCGCTGGATTGACTGTTCAGAACTATCACAGAACACACAGCATCCTGACAATGAAAAGAGTTGGATTAAAAGTAGCTTTAAAAGATGTTACAAAATACATATTGCCAGTATCATTGCTGTTGGTGGATATAATTTGGAATAACACTAATCACTTACATTACTTTTACAATACAAGACATATATGCAAAGTGAATATTTGTAAAATATATTTTTTCAACAATTATAAAAAATTAATTTTGTTAATACCTTCAAGGATCGCACAAGAAGTTGAATTTACTGGGTCCATTTTCTACCATCGTCACTAAGAATTCATTCCAGCATTTAACTCCCCAAGAGTCTTAATCTGAAAGATAAGAAAAATGGGTTACACATATTAAGTTATTTCTAAGCTAGCTTGGCCATTACATCACAAGAACGTGTCCTACTAGTAATATTAGGGTGTCTGATCGCGCACCCGATGTTGTGTGCTAAAATTCTTCCCATAGAGATTACACGCATCCCTATGCAGTCTATGTGCATTGCGCGACCATGCAAAAAATGTCAATTTTTTTTTTTTCAATTCGAGATTCAAACCTTTATCTGTTGTGATCCTGAAGGTGATACTCAATAAATGAGGTGTCATATGAAAGAGCAGGTGAATTCCAATATTTCCAAAGGGGCGTAGCCCCCGAAATTCTAAAAATATCTTGGTCAAAACAGCAATTGAAACATTGTGTCCTGGCTAACTCTGAGGTTTGTCACTTTTGAGATATGACGCCCCGATCGATAAGTAGTCCCAGTCCTAAGGAACAATTCTATGTGCTTATTTTTTCGCTAGCCCCCAGGGATCACAACTAATAACAGTTTAAAAATACCCTTCTCGCTATTTGGTGGATCAGCTAATTAGGGGGCGTGCGCTCCGCTCAGTCCAAACCATGGTTACATCGCGTAACATCTCCGCGTACGAACGAAACCCCAAATTCAATTACACATTAGAGTGAAAGAAAGTATGGGTGGCCATTCGCGGCATAGAACCCGGAAGTGAATACACGTTATAGTCAATGGCAATATCGCGGAGACATCTCCGCGATATTGCCATTGACTATAACGTGCATTCACTTCCCGGTTTATTGTGCGACTAACGCCAACCATACTAGTCAATGGCACATGTCGCGGAGACAGCGTAGCTCAAGCTGCAAGTCGCGGATTGGCTTAGCAGCATGCGTACGATATGCATACGCTTGCATATCGCGCGATACAGCTGTTTGGCTAAATTTAGCAAAACAACATCACTCTGCGTGGACGTCTTTTTCGTCGATTTTGACCAAAATGATATGAATATACCAGCGTTTTGGAGGGGCTGTAACTTTTGATAGAAACATCGGTGAGACTTGAAATTTGAAATGTATTATTCTGATAACATTTTTTATTCAAATATCAAACAAAAATGGTGAAAAACAATCCCAAATTGAAAATTGAAAAATCGTTCAGACACCCTAGTAATATACTCAACTAATCACTATTATCATAGCGTCTACAGTAAGTATAAAATTGGCAAAGCAAAAAGTTGTTTCTCATGTACCCCACATGTACTTGCATTTCAGCCGGAACCAACATCCCGAACTCTCGTAAGACTAAGACTAGAGGCCAGCATTTTATGTAAATCGCACGTTAGCTCGTTATCATCAGAAACACGTGGAAGGAAAGCAAATTGCTATCAGTATCATCCCATCCCAGTATCAAAGTTTCATATTTTTGGTGAAATTCTTGACCGATTTCAAAGTGCTTTGTATGAGAAGAAAGAAGAGTCTAGACCTACTAAGGAACTCTGAAGCCAGTGTGTAATGCTTCATCCGGAAGGGGCGATTACCAACTCATTTAAGGTTTTATTTACCTCCCTCTTCACGCATTGACCTAGACCGAAAGCTTCAGTCTCTATAATCGTCGGTTGTTCCACTGAGACTACGTCTGGCTCCACTAGACCTCCGGTTATAGAGACTGAACGATCGCCTATACCATCGTATGTTGAAGATATCACGGCTAGATTTTAGCTGCTAGGCCCCTCCCACAAACATTACAAACTTGCCACGGCCGTATTGTTATGCCCCCAAAATCCCCCAAAATCCCCCAAAATGTCATTTTACCTCGTCCATATCCAATTTTAAATTAGGCCTAGGCTATAATACATCGGTTCCACTTACTAACTTGATTGAAAAGGACCATTAAACAGATTATTTCAATCAAGTTAGTAAGTGGAACCGATGTATTATAGCCTAGGCCTAATTTAAAATTGGATATGGACGAGGTAAAATGACATTTTGGGGGATTTTGGGGGCATAACAATACGGCCGTGGCAAGTTTGTCATGTTTGTGGGAGGGGCCTAGCGACTAAAATCTAGCCGTGATATCTTCAACATACGATGGTATAGGCGATCGTTCAGTCTCTATAACCGGAGGTCTAGTGGAGCCAGACGTAGACCGAAAACTTCAGTCTCTCTAATCGTCGGTTGTTCCACTGAGACTATGTCTGGCTCCACTAGACCTCCGATTATAGAGACTGAAGGATGGGGACCTCTTACTGTGAGGGACTGTACAGAACAAATGGTTCGGTTCGACCGGACCGCGATGAATGAGATATGCAACGAAATTTTCACTCTTTACATCCTCATAACTGCTGCAATTATAATAACAATTAAAAATAACATATATATAGATCTATATAGCTTATTTGACTTACGATAGCTTGCTCATTTAGATCCTAAATTAATGATTAATCCGAGAAAGTCTCGTCGACAACATTATCCGTCTTGGTTTTAGTTGATGAATATTCATTTTTTCTTTTCGAACGTCCAATAGCTACCGTAGCTACGTACGAGTAAGCCCAGCTTGACCAACGAACTCCCACGAAACGAGTGCTCTGATTGGCCATTTGGCTATGTTTTGGTAGGTTGACCCGGAAATATTTTGGCCGCCGGGTCATATAGCCCTATGTTCCGAGTGCATGAACGTTCGGAGATACAAATTGGATAATTCATATAAGTAAGTCCGTAAATTATCAATTTAATATTGAGTTATCAAATTTTGATAACTGTAATTAGGACAAATGACATACCGACCTAATTAACATCTGATTTAGAAATCAGAAAATTAGATCTAGATCGAAATAAAGAAAATCGGGGGAGAAATGTCGGTAACGAAAAGCTGTTCCGCTGTGGCTCTAATTTACCCCCACGGTACGAGATCTCTGGGTTGCCATCTGTATTGGGGAATGACAACAAATGTCAGTTTTATTAAAGAAATGACCCAAATCAGATGGTTATTGCTGTCTAAGCCAGACGTAGATCTATCTAGTCTCAGTGGAACAACCGACGATTAGAGACTAGCTTTCGGTCTAGCATTGACCTTGCCATTGAACTTAAGTTGCGCGTAAGTTAAGTAGGCCCTCTCTTACTCTCTCGCTGTACAGCGCTCAATGCAAAATGTTCTTCATGCTGGGACTAAAAACACAGGCACAGTGCAACCGACTGAGCAGAGCAGATCTCATTCACTCACTCAGTCACTGCACTGCTCATCCATCGGCCATCGGTCTGATCTATCCAATGCACACACTGTACGGTACCGTACTGCACTCTATACAAAATCTAAACCGCGAAAGCGGAAAGGGCTGAATCTAGTGAATGACGGACCGTTTTAAAGTCACTTTCTAGGAAAACCTTACATTCAAACCATCTCTAAATACAATAGAATCACACATAAGTAACATATTTTCGCAAAATCAGTAATTAAATGTATATATTATACTTATATTACGATTAAACAAACTTATTCAAAAACAATTATTTACCTTGTTTGAAAACAAACTTGCCGCAAAAGTGAACGAGGTTGACCTTTGACCGAGGACGTTGCGCGCGCCAGCTGTTGGTCTACCTCGGTCAGTCATGACAGTGCCTGGGAAGAAAAAAAATCGAGGTCCCTTTCTCTAGCTGTCCCTGCCCCTCACATACTTCTCACAGACCCAGATACACCCTTCTGGCTCTCGACAAACGTTACCTCATTTTAAATAATCAAGCATTCTACAAGTGTCAATCATTTATGTACAATAAGTTTTGATCTGCCTGTGTGCTATAGAATGCAAAGTTCCAAACAGTGCAAAAAGTGAATTGCAATTTTGCAGGGGATAATTGTCCTATATGCGAGGGAGCATGAAAAGTTGAAAACTGAGGGAAAGTATTTTCTAATTCAGCGAGAGGAAAGTGCCGTAAAAAATGTGGTTTAACAATTTATTGAATTAACAATTACACCACATACACTGTTGCCCATTCTGTTTCTTAGATTAATCAAGTTCTCGGGAGATATAAATTTTTATCTATCAAGAATATTTCTCACAATCACTTCACAAAAAGAGTTCAGAAATTATTCCAACTTTGATGGGCAAGAAGTGGATATTGTAAGAAAATTTAGCTATTTAGATGGTTCTCAAAGACGCATTCCTTCAATCATTTGAAAAGGTTTTTATACGACGCTATACCTCAATAGGGTATACTTCTATATAGCTCCTTCGTCAACTACAACCCTATCTATATCCTACCTCTACTACCATCCTTCGTCTACTACCACCCTACCCTTTCTTTCATCCTACGTCTACCCCCATCCTACCCTTTCTTCAATCCTACCTCTACTACCCCCATCCTATCCTTTCTTCGCTTCTACTTCTACTACCATCCTACACCTACCACCACCCTACCCTTTCTTCTATCCTACCTCTACTACCGTCCTTCGTCAACTACAAACCTACCCCTCTTCCATCCTACGCCTACCACCACCCTACCCATTCTTTAATCCTACCTCTACTACCCCCATCCTACCGATTCTTCCATCCAACTTTTACTACCATTCTACGTCCACCCCACCCTACCTGTTCTTCAATCCCATCTCTACTACACTGTAAAAAAATAATAGTCGAAATAACTAAATAAAATTGAGGAAAAGAATTGCCTTATTTTTATTAAGTAAATATTACCTACGGCATCTTAAATAGAATTTACTTATTTTGCTGAATAAATTTTTACTCAGTTAATTCGAGTTACATTAACGTAAATAATTTAAGTATTGTAATCATTTTAGATAATTAAAAAAAAAGCTATGATAGGATTACATATTGCACGACTTGGTACCCATCTAATCTAACAAGTTATATACACTAATCATTCACTACTTCTATTTAAGATTTAACTATTACATACGCTTCAATTCGACACATATTGAAAGGCTCCAAATTTTATATATACTTGATCATAGCATCTTAAAAGGAAAATTGGTTGACAATTTCCTGAAATATCAAGTTTCGATTTGTTTTGAACTGGGTAACAATTAAAGATTGTCTTGTCTTTGCTTAGCCATGTTAAATGAATTAGTAAATGTTTTAAAGTCCTTAAATTTTCATTCAACCACAAAAAAGAATTGTTTTATTTAAAAAAGAGTTTAATTTGGTCTTAGTGAATATTCATAAATTATGTAAATATTTCTATTACGCACTGCATCTGTCCTTACTTTAAAAAGATAAGAATAATCAACATAAATTGTTTGAGTAATACGTATCATTTCTGACTTTGAGCTAAAATTACTAAATTAATACAAGCTGAAATTACTTAAAGTTCTTATGTATTTGATTTTACTTAAATATTCCACGTATGTTCTACTAAATTGAAATTTTGAGTTAGCAAGACTTACATTTAGTGCGTAAGTGGCAAAACTAATGTTTTCAAGTAAATTCTACATGGAAAAATACGTAAAAATTACCAATGAACAAACTCTTTTTTACAGTGTACCATCCCTCGTCAACCCCAACATTACCCATTCTTCTATCCTACCTCTACTACGATCCTTCGTCAACTACAACCCTACCCATTCTTCCATCCTTCGCCTACCACCACCCTACCCTTTCTTCTATCCTACCTCTACTGCCATCCTTCGTCAACTACAACCCTACCCATTCTTCCATCCTACGTCTACCCCACATTACCCCCTCCCTACCCATTCTTCTATCCTACCTCTATCATCCTACCCTTTCTTCTATCCTACCTCTACTACCATCCTTCGTCAACTACAACCCTACCCATTCTTCTATCCTACCTCTACTACCGTCCTTCGTCAATTACAAACCTACCCATTCTTCCATCCTACGCCTACCACCACCCTATCCATTCTTTAATCCTACCTCTACTACCCCCATCCTACCCTTTCTTCAATCCTACCTCTACTACCATTCTTCACCTACCACTGTCGTGTCTGTACATCATTTAGAACACTTTGGACACAACAAAGATAACACAATGGTCCAGGTTTGGGAGTCATATCTCTGCACGTTTTATTAACACAAGGTGGCGCTATACCACATCTCCTCTCCTTCCGCACAAAATTTCAAATTTTCTTTGTAACAGTATCATCACATGTGATATTCCAGTATACATGTATTTGCCAGTTTGCATAGATATATTGTTATCCGGTATCGATCAATAACAACAAATAAAGAGGCGGTTTGAATTTCTTCACCCAAAAAAAAAAATCCTTATCCTACAAGTTTTTTTTTTTTGTTTTGTTTGTTGCTGTTGTTGCTTTTTTTTTTTTTTTTTTTTTTTTTTTTTTTAAAACTTATGCTTGGTTCCTTGACTGTGAAAATGTATAAACACTGTTTACTGAACATTCACCCCTTAGGCTCTGATCTGACTATGTAACATACTTATTCTGACTCCGTATTATAAAAAAAAAAACATAGATGATTTCATAACAACAAAATTAATTTTCATCTTAAAACGTCAAACTATGCATCACAGATGCATTTCTTTTCTTTTTTAATGTACAATTTGTACAAATTACCAAACAGTATTGATCATAATCCTCATATCCCAACATATTACTCTGATCTCATCTTATCAATAACATTATGACATGCAACAAGAACTGTTACACATTGTGTGTTTTAGTTTTTTACAAATCCAACCTATCTGGTTTACTGATGTGACGTTTTGAACGACGGAGGTTTTGCTCTGTGTGTTGCTGTTGTTCTGTGTGACTTTTGTCTTGGGTCTGGGGTATTTTCTTAGGTGACTGAGATGTGTGTGTGTTTGGTATGTCTTCGTCTGTCAAGGCTCTTGTGATGGTGTCTCTGTCATTGTATATGTCTGTGTTCGGTACCGTTTGTCTGAGTGGCTCTGCCATTGAATCTACACACTGCGACATCCTTCTTATCTGGTCGACATGCCTCTTCCACCGAATACCATCTACCACTACTTGATAAGTCACTGGACCAAGGACTCTGGTCACCATACCTTCTGACCATCTTTCAGAATGAATCCGAAAATCTAACACTCTCACTCGTTCACCAACCTCAAAGCTTCTCACTCTCTCTTTCTTCGGAGCTCGCTTCTGCTGTAGTTTTAAGCCTAAATCTGGTCTCACTTGACTCAGCCGTGTCCTCAAGTCTCGTCCCATGAACATCTTTGACGGTGTTTCTTGGGTCACCACATGAGGAGTGGTCCTGTATGACAACAAGAACCTAGCTAACTTCAGCTGTACATCACCCCCATCCGGTTTGGCTTTCTTCATAGCCTTCTTAAAGGTCTGAACAAAACGTTCAACTTCGCCGTTCGAAGCTGGGTGCTTCACTGCTGACTTGATGTGCTTGATGCCATTCTTCTTCAAAAACACAGCAAACTCCTCTGCAACAAATTGTGGTCCATTATCAGATACCACTTCATGGGGAAGGCCATATCTAGAAAACAAACACCTCAACACCCGAATGGTATTCGCTGCTGTTGTAGACCTCATGGGAATGACCTCTGGCCATTTACTGTGAGCGTCTACGACTAGCAAAAACATCTGGTCCAGAAATGGTCCAGCAAAATCAACATGCACTCTATGCCATGGCTGGGATGGCCATGCCCATGGATTCACCGGTGCTGCTGGTGGTAAGGTCTGCATGGCTTGGCAAGATGAACAAGCCTGTACTAAGCGTTCAATATCCTGATCTAGACCTGGCCAATAGACATGCATTCTGGCAAGACTCTTCATCCTCACCATCCCCTGATGGCCTCTATGGAGCTCTTCCAAAATATGTTGCTGCAAACCATCTGGAATGATCACACGAATTCCCCAAAGCAAGCAACCACTTTCTACTGTCATCTCATCTTTCTTCCTCAGCCAAACCTGCAACTCTGGTGAGATCTCGTCCCTGCAAGGCCATCCATTCTGAACAAAGAATCTAACCTTTGGCAACACCCTATCAGTGTCCGTAGCTCTCCGCACTCTATCAGCTGTCACCGGCAGTGACTTCAACTGTGTCTCATTCATCTGTGTAGCTTCTTCAGTCCACTTCACTACAAACTCATCCTCCTCGCTCTCCACCTTTCCTGAACCAGGCAGACGTGATAGGAAATCTGCATTGGCATTCTGCTGGGATGTCCGATATTTTATATCATACACGTATCCTGAAAGCAAAATTGCCCAGCGTTGCAGCCTTGAGGCCGCTAGGACCGGAATCCCCTTCTTGGGTCCAAGTAGAAAGGTCAATGGTTTGTGGTCCGTAAGAAGCATAAACTTCCTACCACAAAGATACTGATGAAAATACCTCACACCATACACAATAGCTAGAGCTTCCTTCTCCAACTGAGAGTAGTTCATTTCTGCCTTTGTCAACTTCCTAGACGCATACGCAATCGGTTTGTCCCCCTCTTCTGTCACATGGGAAATGACCGCGCCTATCCCATATGGTGATGCGTCCACCGCCAATGTCACCTCTTTGCTTGGATCGAAATAGACCAGTACCTTGCTGGAGCTCAGTATCTTCTTCACCAAGTCAAAGGCCTTCTGGCATTCAGAAGTCCACTCGAACAC